GCTTGAATCTGTTGCTGATGCTTAGTTGCTTTACTGTGGTTGATGGAATAATGAATGTTAAAGATATTCCATTTAAAAGGAACAAATCAAATGAGCTTATCCAGATGGTCACTGAAGTCACATGCAAAGATGCTCAGGAGCGTGGGGTAGGAATAACTCTTTCATCCCATTTATTTGTCCAGAGTTGTCTGACTACAGGAGCTGATGAATTTTTTTGTCCTTCTGTTGTGTTTACTTCCTTGATCTTGGCTAATATGCTTTTGGCTCTTCTGTTTCCCGCCGGTCTCCTTTACATTCAAATTATCTCATGGTTTCTCAGGCTTCCATTGCAATGACACAAGATGGTGTCATTACTATTGTAGTACCAAATTTGCTTCAATATTTTTTCAAATGTTTTTTGGGAGAAAGCAAATGCAGCAGCAAAACTAAATAAAAGATTCATAAGGCTCACGTGTGACTTGTTGGCACATAACAACAACAACAACAAGCCTCACATAAGGTTCCTTTGCAACCCAAGACTTTGATAGCATGCTTGCTGCAGTTAGTGACAGTAACGTTATCATCATATCTGCCCGGGAAGCCAAAACAAGTTACATCCGAAGGCACCAAAATAGGGCTGATCAAATTCTGGGCATCATGAGGATGTGTTGACACCCCCTGAAATCACTAGGGCCACATCATTATGTGACGCACCACCACGACCATCAAAATGATGCGGCACAAGCACAATCCGAAACGCCACATTTACAACTTCATTGTAAATCAGAGTGCATGGAGACAGTACACTGTGTTTTTGGGTGAAATCATGCTTATAGGAGACTTCCAAGAATATAATTCAACTAAAAAACAAGACACATGCTCCTCATGTTATTACACTTGAAAAGATACATGCCAAGATCCAGTGTATTTTATTATTTGATAACAACAAAATCAGGATTTACTACACTATGCAGTTGGAACCCTCTTTGGCACCAGCATCTGGACCAGATTTTCATGGGGTGTGCAGGAATGGGAGGATCATCAATTCTTGCAGAAACTGTGGGATTTAGTGAAGTGCACCAATGGATTCTGGCCCTCTTCTGGTCAAACTATACATCTTTGCTGGACTTTTTGCTTTGCCTGAAGCAACACTTTTCTATACGAAACACGCCATGTCTCATCTTTCTCATCCCCAGTTATGAAACGTATGCATGCCTTGTTTACCTGCTTCTCGTACCCTGTTCTTTGTTCTGTGTCCTACAGAGATGTATTTGCACAAGCAGAGACTTGTTCTAACTGCAACATACTTGGTTGGCTAGTTTGTTGGTCTGCCCGGTCATGCCAGGCAAGAAGGGCGGGTAGATTCATGAGTCCTGGGTCCAACTTTAAAAGCCCTGAAACCCACATGGGGCTGCGTTCTGCTAATGCAACACAACAAAATGGGGCAGGACATCCTTAACCTTCTAGAAGCCTCCGCCCTTTGATTCCCACCATTCCTATTCAGCATGGCTGCTGGTAAGAGACCATGAAACTTGTACTCCAAAACATCTCAAGGGTCAAAGGTTCTACTTCCTGCTGTAGGAATCCAAGAGGCCATTGACTACCATCCTGACCGGGGTGCTCTTGGAGTGGTGGTTCAGAAATTTAAGGTTTTGCAGTTGTGCCCTCAACCCCCAACCCTCCAACAATCTGTTTTTCAAGACAAACCACGGAGGGGACTTTTACTGCTTAATAAGCAATGCAGGGATACGACTGGAATTTAGTTCCAGAGCCTGAGGGTGATTTGGCCCCTTGTAATAATGCTCAGATGTTATCTCTGGATCCTGCCCTCTGTTGGTGGCCTTCCTAGATTCATCTGCTTGGTCACAGAGGTGAAACAGGATGCTTGATCGGATCCATGAGGACTCCTGTTATATTCTTACACAATGTACAGTGCATTCCCTTCATAACAGGCCTAATAAAATCAACTGGCATACTATGGAATGAATGAATTGTGCATTTTATACTCAGTATTTTTCTTGTGTTTTTCACGTGATTTAATTTATATTTTACCCCTTGTTACAAGGCTTGGGACATCATTTTTATAGCAAAAGCTAGGTGTGTTACTGATTCTTTTAGATAGTTTGCCATTATTATTGCCATCTGAAAATATCTATTTCGTTGCATTGTCTGTTTTGTGTTATTGATGTGTTTTACTGTCCTCACAATGCCCTGAAAATTCCAAGGAAATAGTGTATACAGTACTGTGGTTCCCCCTGTGACTGATCCTATTATTGTACTGAGAAATTATTTTAAAAATACAGAAGACTAAAATATTTTCCTTGCTGCTTATGATTGATAAGAGAATGGTGTAACATTTTAAAAATTCCATTCAAGTTCTAAAAAAGGCACCTTCAGAAGTAACTTATAAGTTTCACAGTAACCATGTAACTACCCATTACACTGCCTTTGAAATGTGACATACTAAACCCTTGTTATCAAAAGTAACTAGTTATATGTAGCTGTTTTGTTTGGTACCAAAAGTAACTAGTTACAAGTAACCAATTACTCCCAAGCTGTATCTATATTTCTGAAAATAGTCATGGGATTCACTCGGGCCAAATTGGTGGAGCAGCCTGCATGTTCATTTCCTCATCTGAGTAAAATTTGTTCTGTCTGTAATGGTATTAATTACATTTGTCTCTCAAGAACTTCCAAAAATTTCAGAGAGGGTCTACTGGTGCTCAGTATATCTAGAAGCCCATAAATAGTCAGCCTTGTTTATGGCTTATAATTGGAGCAGGGGGTCCGTCCCGATTTGGGGATGAAGTGCACCTCCCACTTGGCCAGTGACCCGCCTTAACCACATCAGGTTTTGAATGACTTGCTTCCAGAATCCTCTAGCCAGCCAGCATGGTCATGACCTCAAAGTGGCTGTTCGAAGCTTTGATGAAATGCCCATCAAGGCCATGGAAGGTCATGGAATGGTGAGATCATCAGAAAGCACCTTTGGGCTGCTTACCACATCTTAGCCTCCTTTTCGTCTTAGCTAAAAGCTAAACGAGAAGCTCATCAATATTTCAGCATCACCTAAGATGCTGATGGCTGCTTTATTTATCCCACACCCACTTCCCTTCTTGGGATTTCTGCTCAGTCATTCTCATCCTCCTTCTCCAAAGGTTCAGCTAAAAGAAACTCCCTTAAAAGGAGAAGCAAGACTGCAGAATACTAGATGCTGGAAATATTAAGCCTGTCACTTAGGATCTTGACTTTTTTTATTTGATTGAAGGTTCTTGTTTTCTCCCAGTTAGTCCTTGCTTACCCCCGAGGGTTACAGGGTGTACCGGGATTTGTGTTCAAATTTCATTTGCTTGCTCTTGGCTCCTTTTAAATTTTATTTTATTTATTTATTTGATTTATACCCCGCCTATCTGGCCTAATAGACCACTCTAGGCGGCATTTGTGGGCACTTTGTCATCACTCTTAAATTCCCCAGCCTTTTTGCCCCTTCACAACACCTGGATTGCTTTCTCCCTGTTCCTTCTCCATAAAAGCTCCTTGCTCCTTCCTTTTCTGCCTTGTTCTGCTTATTTAACTTTTCCCTCCTCCACTTGGCTGCCCAGCATTCCTTGTTCATTTTACCCTTCAATGTGGGTTCATTTTACCCTTCTGAGCCACAAAGGACTGCCAGTTTTGCCTTTTTATAATCTTCTTGTGCTGCCTCCACACAGCTGCCTTCGCTTTCCTAGTAAATTTGGAAGCTTGGCCAGAGAGGCTGTAATCAGGAAATGAACTTCTACTGGGAAGCTCCTTAGCATTGTCCCCATCTGGAACAAACCAAGATAAAACATAAACCAAGTCTATGGGGGGAGGGGAATGCAGAAAGTCACAGATTTGGTAGCTTTTAGAATTGAGAAAAGCCTTACATCACATGGATGAGGAAGAAAAATTGTGCTCATCAGGTAAAATATACAGAATACAAGTTCAGTCTGGAAGAGTCCTGACAAAGGTAATCTCCAAAACCTAATTTCTGCCACATTTCTAGTGGTGGAGGAGAACGGCTGTTTTTTTGGTGTCGCCTGAACATTGGAGATGCTCACTGTGTTGAAATATACACCTGAATTCCAGGACTTTGGGGTGGTTTTGTGGAAGATAGCTATGAAACAACCTGTTTTGTATTGGTTAGACTGTTGGATTAGAACTGGAAAAGGGCATCTTTATGGATCATATTTTTCTATGTATAAGACTGTACTTTTGTCTAAAATCTTTAGACTAAAAATTGAGGGTTGTCTTATACATGGAAGTAAGCTGAGTGAAAAAAACAAGTGGAGGGGAAAGCAGGGATCAAAGTGATCCTGCAGGGCGTTGATCCCTGCTTTCCCCTCCACTTGCTAAGCCTTAGCAAAAGGAAAGCAGGGATCAAAGTGCTGCAGGATGGCTTTGATCGCTGCCTTCCTCTCTGCTTGCTAAGTCCCAGGGAGCTTAGCAAAAGGTGGGGGAAGGTTCAAAGCAATCCTGTGGCTGTATAAGGGAGAAAGGAATCAAAATGATTGTGCAGTCGTGGAATTGCTTTGATCCCTTTCCCCCTCCTTTTGCTAAGCCACGCTGGGCTCAGCACAAAGGGAGAAAGCAGGGATCAAAGCCATCCTACAGCACTTTGATCCTTTTTACCCTACATTTGCTAAGCCCCACTTAGATTTCTTAATTTTGGGTTAGAAAAGTGGGGATGTCTTATACATGGGGGTGTCTTATAACCAGCTGTGAAGATGGCAAAAGGAGAACAGACCAGTCATTCTTTCTGTGTCTGATCTACCTCACAGGGTTGTTGTGAGAATAAAATGGAGAGGGGGAGAACCAGGTATGCTGTCTCGGGTCTCTTGGAGGGAATTATTGGCTGTAAATATGCTAATTAAATGTAAGTGAAAATATGACTTACTTCGTTAGCAGTGTGCACCTCAAGGTGTGACTTGTCTGGCATATTTTTGTTCTTTGTCACTTCTGCGTATCGTATAAAATCTCACTGTTCATTTTCTCTTTCATAGCGGATTTATTACCTGTCTCTGGAATTCTACATGGGCAGAACACTGCAGAACACCATGGTCAACCTGGGGCTGCAAAATGCCTGTGATGAAGCCATTTATCAGGTACGTTCGTCCTTGGAAGTTTGGATGGGTGCTATCTCTGAATTCACCTGGTCCCTTGTTGTAACAGAAAAATTGTGGCAAAATGGCCGAGATGTCCTGTCACAAAACCAGGATAGGGTTAGGCTGAAAATGAACGGCTACCAATCGGGGTCAGAGCAATAGCCTGGGAGTAGGAAGGACCACACTTTTTTCCATGGCATTTCCCTGATCTAAAATACAGCTGAAACTGGGGGAGAAAGAAAAAGAATTCAGCGATCTGTATGTTTTCTGCATCCAGGCAATTGTGGTGCAAGGGCCCGAGGATTGGGAAATCCAGTTTCTAGTCCCTGCTTAGCCATTAAATTTACTGATCGGCCGTAGACCCCACTTTCTCTCTCGGCAGGACCTGCTTCACAGGGTCGTGATGAGGATAAAGTGGGAAGCGGGGGAAACCACGTGCCTCGTTAAGCTCACTGGAGAAAAGGCAGGGTGTTAGTGCAACTCATACTCACCAAAGGGGAGAAATGAGGCCCCGGGCAGTGGAGGGGTGTGTGTGTGTGTTCCAGATGGGGAGGCAGACAGTCACGTGGTGTTCCTTTGCTTTTCCAATAGCTTGGGCTGGACCTGGAAGAACTGGAGGAAATTGAGGAAGATGCCGGCCTTGGCAATGGAGGCCTAGGGCGTCTGGCAGGTGAACTGCGATTCGGCAACATTTTATTTTATTTTATTTGCATGAGCGCACTGCAACATCAAGAAAAATAGAGCAAAGGAAATTCAGAGCAGATGGATTGCACAGCTGAATGATCTGCGTTGTAATGGAACCTGGTCTCTCTGGGTCCAAGGGCGTGAATGGTCTGCTTGGCAGCAACAGTTCCTTCATTTGCCATAGCCCTTAAACTCTCCAGTTTTCTCTGTGTTCGTGGTATCAGAGTTGAGGAAGATAAGGATCTTTTTGTAATGCCAAGTACTGTATTTAATCCTGCCATGTTGATTTGGAAATGAAGGTCCGTTAGCCTTACAAAAGATAAGCTCCTGGTGGATTTAAAAACTGCTGGAACTGCTTTGTAGATTTGAAACAGCCCATCTGCCTGCATTTTTGAGTTGTCCTTGCAGTCCCCATGATGAGAGCCTAAAGGCTTTGCATAAGGCCACCTGGCAGATCAGCCTCTTATGCACTGCATTGTATTGAGTACTCTCAGGAGTACTTTTTCTTAGTGCTGTGTGGCCTTTAAAGCACAAGCAGAACAGGATGCACCGAGAGCAGCTCCTTTTTAATGTTTATATCTGACTGCTGCTTTTTCACTCTTTTTTTCTTCTTTTGCATTTTAGCTTGCTTTTTAGACTCAATGGCGACCCTAGGACTGGCAGCTTACGGCTACGGAATCCGCTACGAATTTGGCATTTTCAACCAAAAGATCGTCAATGGCTGGCAGGTGGGTTGCTGAGAGGACCGGAACGACCCTTTCATTCTCTCTGCTTTTCCAGCTGCTCCCAGAGAAGACCGTGCTTGGGATAGCAAGGGAAGCTTTTCAATCCAGACCTATAGAAAGGTGTGCTAAGTCCAAACCTCCCTCCTGCCTGCCTAAGTCGGGGAGAGTTGCAATATAAGCACTGAGGACAGTTTAGAAGGAACTCTGCATGCCACAACAGAAGACTACAGATTTGGCAGTGAATACTAAGTGAATAGATGAGCAATACCTGTACAGATATCAAAAACAGTAGATCACAGATAAATGTACACAGGCCTTTCTCGCACACACACACACACACACACACACACACACACACACACACACAAACACACAATATCCTCCCAATAGTTGGGATTGAAATAGATTTTCCAAGGATCAATATATTCTTGCAAGCTCTCCTTGTCAAAATACAAAATATTTGAGGGTGGTTTGGCCTTGAATGGGCAATTAATCACTCAGGGCAGTCTTCCCTACCCTGGCACCAAGGTTGGACTAATACCACCGTTGTTTCTTGGAAGTGGTAGCTGTGTTGGTCTGTGCTAACACATCAGGCAAAAACAATAGAAAGATTTAAAAAATAAAGAAGACAAAGACATGGCACCTTAAAGACTAAGTGCTCTATTTGAATGAGAGCTTTCGTGGACAAGCCCACTTCCTCTTGAACTTAATATCCCATCATTTCTTGTTTCCCTTCCCTTCACCTCTGCTTTTGTGGGATACATTTGAAAGTCATTTCCAGTTTCTGTGTGATTTGGCCAAAGTGCAACTGAGCTAATGCCTCGTTTCGTCGTTTAGTCGTGCCCGACTCTTCGTGACCCCATGGACCAGAGCACGCCAGGCCCGTCTATCTGCCACTGCCTCCCGGAGTTGTGTCAGATTCATGTTGGTTGCCTCGATGACACTGTCCAACCATCTTGTCCTCGGTCGTCCCCTTCTCCTCTTGCCTTCACATTTTCCCAACATCAAGGTCTTTTCCAGGGAGTCCCCTCTTCTCATGAGATGGCCAAAGTATTGGAGCCTCAGTTTCAGGATCTGTCCTTCCAGTGAGCACTCAGGGTTGATTTCCTTTAGAATTGATAGGTTTGTTCTCTTTGCAGTCCAGGGGCCTCTCAAGAGTTTCCTCCAGCACCACAATTCAAAGGCATCAATTCTACGGCGGTCAGCTTTCTTTATGGTCCAGCTCTCACTTCCATACATCACTACAGGGAAAACCATAGCTTTACAAGGTTCTTTAGTTCCTCCTCACTTTCTGCCATCAGAGTGGTATCATCTGCATATCGGAGGTTGTTCATATTTCTTCCGGCGATCTTAATTCCAGTTTGGGATTCCTCCAGTCCAGCCTTCCGCATGATGTATTCTGCATATAAATTGAATAAGCAGGGGGACAATATACAGCCTCGTCGTACTCTTTTCCCAATTTTGAACCAATCAGTTGTTCCATATCCAGTTCTAACTGTTGCTTCCTGTCCCACATATAGGTTTCTCAGGAGATGGATAAGGTGGTCAGGCACGCCCATTTCTTTAAGGACTTGCCATAGTTTGCTGTGGTCCACACAGTCAAAGGCTTTTGCATAATCAATGAAGCAGAAGTAGATGTTTTTCTGGAACTCTCTGGCTTTCTCCATAATCCAGCGCATATTAGCAATTTGGTCTCGAGTTCCTCTGCCCCTTCGGAATCCTGCTTGTACTTCTGGAAGTTCTCGGTCCACATATTGCTGAAGCCTACCTTGTAGGATTTTGAGCATAACCTTGCTAGCGTGTGAAATGAGTGCAATTGTCCGGTAGTTGGAGCATTCTTTGGCACTGCCCTTCTTTGGGATTGGAATGTAGACTGATCTTTTCCAGTCCTCTGGCCACTGCTGAGTTTTCCAGACTTGCTGGCATATTGAAAGTAGCACCTTAACAGCATCATCTTTTAAGATTTTAAATAGTTCCACTAGAATGCCATCACCTCCACTGGCCTTGTTGTTAGCCAGGCTTTCTAAGGCACACTTGACTTCACTCTCCAGGATATCTGGCTCTAGGTCAGCAACTACATTATTTGGGTTGTCCGGGATATCCAAATCTTTCTGATATAATTCCTCTGTGTATTCTTGCCACCTCTTCTTGATGTCTTCTGCTTCTGTGAGATCCCTTCCATTTTTGTCCTTTAGCATGTCCATCTTTGCACAGAAGGTTCCTCTGATATCTCCAATTTTCCTGAACAGATCTCTGGTTTTTCCTTTTCTGTTATTTTCCTCTATTTCTTTGTTCTTTCCATCCCATAGATTACATTTGTCTGCTTTCCACCCATGGCATTGCTGCCATCTGCTTTCCAGTTATGACTGTGGCTTCTGCACCTTTCTCTCGTGTTGTGACATTCATTTAAATTCTATTTCCACCCGCTGTGTTGTCTTGAAGCCTTACCAGGGAGTTCTGGTCTGTGCCATTTAAGTGGTCATGCTTAAATTGAATTGACTGCAGTTCCAATAGCCTCCGACAGATGGGGCTGTCCAAAGATCTGCATTAATAGGCACAAGACAGGCTTTTCCCTGTCTCGATGGCCAGCTTCCTATATGGAGCTTTGCTATTTAAGGTGTTAAAAAAATAAAAATAAACAAGAGTGTTGCTCAGGAGAAGCATTAAAAAAGGAAGAGTCTTGGAGACAGGCTTTGCTGGGGAAGTACTGTATGTGCTGGTGTTGCCCCCCCCATGTGTTGTGTGTACTCATGAGATAACAGGTGAGGAAGAAGGTTCACACCCCATCGTCCCTTTCTGTGTCCGTTCAAAGTGATCACATTAGAGATGGACATGAACTGTCAAGCTGTCGGCCGAACCAGCAGTTTGTGCCCCTATGTAGATCACATGCTTTGAAGTGAAGCAAAAAGATTCAGTTTTCAAAAAGTAGAAGGATTTTTAAAAAGTCAGATAATGGGACTCTAGGTTGATTCAATTTCCCATTGTACTGTATAATCAACTGGGGGAAAAGTGAATTAGCCTAAACCTGTAGTAAGGGACGTGGTTAAACCACAGAAGCCTCTGTGCTGCAGGGTCAAAGACTAGCCGTCGTAAGATCAAATCCATATGATGGAGTGAGCTCCCGTCGCTGCTCCCAGCTCCTGCCAACCTAGCAGTTCAAAAGCATGTAAAAATGCGAGTTAATAAATAGGTACCACCTCGGTGGGAAGGTAACAGGGAGTCTAGTCGCGCTAGCCACGTGCCCACGGAAACTGTCTTCGGACAAACACTGGCTCTACGGCTTGGAGACGGGGATGAGCACCGCCCCCTAGAGTCTGACATGACTGGACTAAATGTCAAGAGGAACCTTTACTTTTACCTAAACCTGTAGCATTTCCTGCATTTTATGTTAATATGGTCGCCCTCTCACTTTGGGGGGAAACCTGGAGAAATGCCTCTGAATATGGTTTCCTTGTAACCTTTCCCCTCTGTTTTTAGGTGGAGGAAGCTGACGATTGGCTGCGTTATGGCAATCCTTGGGAAAAAGCTCGTCCAGAATACATGCTGCCCGTACACTTCTATGGTCGGGTGGATCACACTCCAGATGGTGTAAAATGGGTCGACACTCAGGTACGGCATCCTCCAGCTACTGGAGAGGGATTTACACAAGACAGTGGAGGAGACATTTTGGAAGAGACAGATAATGAATATTTCTATGGCTTTTCTCACTAAAGTATGTTACAGAAAGACTAGAAATCTCAAATGTAATAAATACCAACACAAGCATTAAATGACTCAGTGTGTAGAGGGCAGAAGATGTTCTTCAGCAGGAGGTCTTTAAAAACACATTTTTCCTGTCCCTGCCATGTACTTCATTTGTAGATAACAACGGCTTTACTTTGCAATTCAAATATCTTTTTTTTAAATCAAGCTCGGTATCTGACATGCTGAGTGAGAAAATATGGTAGGGAAAAAAAGCATCATTTAGACAGAAATAAAAAGAAGGCTTAATCTGCGAGGAGCACTATAAACTCCAATGGCCATGCATAGGAAAACAGCATAGCAGGATGTTTGACTCCAAAAGCTTGAATAACTCAGGAGAACTGGTTCTATATAAATGCAATTTTCATGATCCAGTCTCAGTACAGAAGGCAGAGTATCCAGGGATGCCTTAAAGACGAGACAGTTCTGTTTCAGCTTGAGTTTTTGCAAGCAAGAGCAGTCTTTAAATCAGGCATGACTTTGTGCTGATGGCTTGACAAGCGATATTTGGGCTTCTTCTGACTGCTGCCTTTTCCATGCCTTTTCTTTCCATGTAGGCAGTGATCCTAGTGCGACAATTTTGTTGCTTGGCAGCATGTCATTAGTTTAAACACTAGCATTCCTCCGAGGGGTTGGCTACACATGTGATTAGCCTCTGAGCAGAGAAATTTTGCTTTTGTTTACTACAACTGTACACATTTGTGGATCTGACACAGCTCCCACAGTCCCTCCGCTGTGCTAGCAAAGAGACTTGAGGAGTTGTACTACAAAAAGAGAGAGGCTTTTCCAAGCTTGGATTGTTAGAGAGCTGTTCAGAATCAACCTTCCACTTCTTTATGGAATGCAGGACTAGAATTTGCCATAGAATTGGGGTAAAGACTGCTTGAGATTTTTGGGTTTTATTTTTTTCTTTTGCTTTACCTACTGGCTTTGTTTTCTTCTTCTTGATGTCTCCTATGTTGGCATTTGACAACAGGATTGGTGTTTTTGTTGTTGTCGTTTTGGGCTGCTCTGTTCCACTCTTTGTTTTTACTATTGGCAATTTACTGTATGTTTCTATTCTAAAATGGGGTTTTTACCTGGAATTTCATGTTGCTCTGACACTAAACAAGTACGTTTTTTGGTGTAGCTCGTTGTTATCTGGCTTCTTCTCCTTCTGTTAGGTTGTCCTTGCCATGCCTTATGATACACCTGTTCCTGGCTACAAAAACAATACCGTCAATACCATGAGATTGTGGTCAGCCAAAGCACCCAACGATTTCAATCTTCAAGAATGTAAGTGCTGCTTCATTCTCTGGGTGACTTTATTTTTGGAATACACATAGGTTGCTAAGGGAATCTGCAAGGCAGGATTTCTCTGTTTTCAACATGTTGTGAGTTTGTTGTGCTTTCATTTCAGAGGCTGGGCAAAACCACCTCTTCCTTGTGTTTACCAACAGTTAATATTGTACTCATTTAGAACATCTATATATCACTTTTATTAATAAAATTCCAGCATGTAAGTCAAATGTAATCAAACAACAATTACATTGAAATGCAGTAGGAATATACAAATTCATAACAAACTCCTAAAGATCTTGCTAAACTAGGTTTTAACATCTGCCAGTGCTTGGTTAAACAGGTATGCTTTTATTGTATGCTGAAAAGGCTGGTGCTTGTTGTACTGTAAAAAGAATAAATTTCACATATGGGATGCCATAAGAGAAAAGATCTTGGCTTGCCCTCAAATCTACATGTGTGGGTGACAGGCGAAACATAAGACCCTGCTCTGCAGATCTCTTTGCACGGGCAGATTGAGATGGGAGTTCTGATTAGAGGTGTGCAGTTTTGGTTTTGGACTACAACTCCCAGAATTCCCTTGGCCATGGCCTATGGCCACATTTACCAGGAGAATTCTGGTAGTTTTATTCCACAAAGACAGTTCTGCGCAGTTGTATTCCAAACCTTTAGCACTGATCAGTGATAGAAGTACAGAAACCCCAGCAATACAGATTTCATAGACTGGGCCATAATGTTAATGTGTGTTCATTTTCCTCTGCTTAGTTAATGTTGGTGATTATATTGAAGCTGTGCTGGACAGAAACTTAGCTGAAAACATCTCCAGAGTGCTGTATCCAAATGATAATGTAAGTAACTCCTCTGTGCTGCATGAAATCGGATTTCGTTTTGTTTCTGTGCTGCTCTCATCAGCTCCTTAAAAAAATAACTAGCTTGTGGTCAAATTTCCCTGTATGTGTAATGTCACATCTTCCCCAGTGGAGTCCTCACGCCCGCCCCCAAAGCTACTCTTGAGTAGAGTTTGGAGATGTTACTTTTTAGCACTTCAGTGGGAAGTTAATATGGGCAGTTAGACTGTCCTTCCCATGAAGCACCAGGGTGGCTCATGGCAAGCAGTGGGACTTTGGGGAGGAAGTCCTTTCTTTTTTTCATATGCAGTTAAGCAAAAAAAAAAAATGGTGGCAGGAAGATCTCTCTTTTGCTTTTTCGTTTCTCGTCTCCCAATCCCAGAATTTTGTCTCAAAGCTTCTGGGTGAATTCTGGGGCAGGGAGTTCTGGAAATCTGAAACTCCCATTGCTAGTAATAATCCTTGTCTTTGTTGCCACCACTGTCATCATCACTGTATATAATGATTGGCTTTAGCATTATGGATTAGATCTGGTGTCGTCTTCATTGCATTGGGTGCTTTGTGCAACCCCTGTAATGATTTCCAAGCTCTGGGCCTCAGATAATTTTGGACTACAACTCCCGAAAACTCTGACCATGGGTTATGGTGGGTAGTAGAGAATAGCCACAAACTGCCTGTTTATTGATTCATGTTGCTTGTTTTACTGGCTGAACAGGTGTCTGGAGCTGCTTGGGGGGGCTGTCTCTGAGTGGGGGGCCTGCTGGTGGAGGTGGGGCTAGGAAGTTCCAGACAACTGTTTGACTGGGAAATGAACTGGCTTCATTTACCGGTTCAGAGGTTCATGCTTATCTCTAGGGGTTAGGCCTTCTGGGTGTTCTGGTCAGAGACCATATGTGGCCCCAGAAAGCACGTAGGAAACTTTGCTGTAACAGGTTTTGCAATAAAATCTGTAATGAATAATAATGTGTCTTTTCCTTGGTGTTTGCAAGTTCTTTGAAGGGAAAGAGCTTCGTCTGAAACAGGAGTACTTTGTAGTAGCCGCCACTCTCCAGGACATCATCCGGCGGTTCAAGTCTTCGAAATTTGGGTGTCGTGACCCTGTGCGAACCTGCTTTGAAACCTTCCCTGATAAGGTAAATATTTAACGTGGTGGCTGAACTGAAGTAACGAAATACAGAATTTTAATTTCCAAGACACCTCTGTTTTAGGCCATGTAGAGGTAATTGTTGACATGTAGTGAATAAATATTGAACTATTCAGGAGAAACATTCCACACAATTGGAAAATACCTCCCTCTTTGCTCCATTGGACCTATGCCAGTGGGGCTTTTGCTCTGTCACCACTGAGCTAAATTCCCCCAATTGAACTGAAATTTATAATCGGTGTCTAAGGGATTGACACAAACATCTCTATTAAACTATGCTGCTGTCTTACTGGCATTTTGTACTGTTTGAAATCACTCTCATTGGTCACACGGAAATGCTTATTTATTCCAGGAAGGTGTGTTTCAAGACCCCACGCACAGGGTCAAATTAGTTACATTTCTCCCCTATGTTACGCAGCCCCCTTCCCTGCTCACCCTCCTCTGTCATTATATCTGCCCTCTTTCCTGCCCCTTTTGCTGCCACACCCCTTCACTTGTTCTGCCTCGTGGCACAGTGGTTAAACCACTATTCAAGACCCCACGCACAGGGTCGAATTAGTTACATTTCTCCCCTATGTTACCCAGCCCCCTTCCCTGCTCACCCTCCTCTACCATTATATCTGCCTTCTTTCCTGCCCCTTTTGCTGCCACACCTCTTCACTTGTTGTCAGGTGTCGCAACAGGAAGCAGATATGGATGCATGAATTAATCCCAGTTTTTCATACCACATATTCTTGTCTCTGTAGCCTATAACCAGGCATTCAGATTCCTTTTTATAATGTTTAGTAGATTTAGTTAGTGATATACTTTAGTAAGGGATATACAGTGGTGCTTTGCAACCACTTTGTTCCGTGAGTATCGTCGTCTTGTGAAAAATTCGTTTTGCAAAAATCGTCCATAGAAGCATTCGTCTTGCGAGTCATCAACCCAATAGCCAAAACCATTCGTCTTTTGTTGTCAGGTGTCACAACAGAAAGCAGATATGGATGCATGAATTAATCCCAGTTTTTCATACCACATATTCTTGTCTCTGTAGCTTATTACCAGGCATTCAAATTCCTTTTTTAATGTTTAGTAACTTTAGTTAGTGATATACTTTAGTAAGTGATACACAGTGGTGCCTAGCATGACAAATTTAATTCGTTCCACGAGTATCGTCGTCTTGCGAAAAATTTGTTTTGTGAAAATTGTCCATAGAAGCATTTGTCTTGCGAGTCATCAACCCAACAGCCAAAACCATTCGTCTTGCGGGATTTTCATCCCGCAAGGTGTTCGTCTTGTGAAGCACCACTGTACTGCTGAATTTATAGGATGGAAGGTTTGGTAAGAAAAGCAAAATGTTTTGTTATAGAAGAGCATCTCTATGTCCAATGGCAATGAAAAAGAGAAGCTTTCTTTGAAATTGGGATACTGTACATGCATGACATCTGACACAGCGCTGCTTTATTTAGTGAATGTAGTGCTAAACTTGTAGTCATATGTAATTTTTTCCCAAAATAAGAATCAAGAGCAATACAAAGTACAAACCAAGCATAGCCAGGAAGGAATACCGTTTACCTTCACACCACTTCACACTGAATATACTTTCACGGACATGAGTTGGACACGGTCAATTGCCGACCCAAAGGACTGGTTTATGTGATTATAAAATGCAAAAATGAGGCAAGCAAGTGTATGCGTAAATGCTATCGAAATAAACAAATAAAAACCAACCATCACCAAACACAGTGTCTCACAGATTCGTGCCAGAAAGTCAGATCTACTCAGGATTTCTTGTAAGGTAGCAGAATAAAATGAAGTGGACCATGAGTAACGGGATGCAAGTAATAGGAGAAAAGGCCACTTGGTGGGGCCCAAACTGAGATTCAGTTCATGGATGTTGTCTGAAATCCCATTAAATTCAGAGTCTAGGACCCTATTTCCTTTTGCAAGTTGCATAAGGGCAGTCACTGAGTGTTTTGCTTCTCATTGGCACACCCAGTCTCACTAGGGTTTTTAAAAGGGGCATCCCACTGGTCACATGATGGGGTGCGGTGGGGCTACTGGGGTGTAGAAACTGCTGCTCAGTAGCCCTGATGCAAGTGGAAACATCAGCATGATTTGGGCTACAATGTTGTACGTCCAGAACCCTGGTGGAATGTCAACCCGGCTTTGGTTTGTTCAGATCTAAAGGATAGTTGCCTGTTTAGAGCTGATCTTGTTCTCCTTCCAGGTTTCCATTCAATTGAACGACACTCATCCAGCACTCTCTATTCCTGAGCTCATGAGAATCTTCATTGATATCGAACACATGGATTGGGATAAGGTGAGAAGGAGGGGAAAGGAATGCAATGGTACAACACTGAATTACAGGCTGGGTCTTCCCAGCCACCAGACAGTGGCGCTTCACAGCAAAGCTCAGAAAAAGATAGGCCAGAACTTGGAGTACAACTCCCAGAATCCGTCATCCACCATTCTGCAAGCTGTAGTCCAAAAAATATATATATTTTTTTCTAAGCTCTCCTTCACAGTTGTTAGAAAACCCATAACTTTAGAAAGTCAACCTCTGTGAAACAGCTTAGGTAACAATAATTCAGGTGTGGGGAAGAGATAAGAGGGAGAAAGCTGCTGACCCCTGCTTCTATGCAGTACCCTCTCTAACCCCTTCCTTCCCATAAGAATATGTGGTATCTATCCTAGCAGAGTACAGACAGCTAGTGGGAGTAATAAATCCAGAATCTTGAAATAAGAGGGAAAATAGCAAACTTCAAGAAATCCATTCAGGAATAGTGCATTGGTTTTATCTGCTTCGTAAACACAAGATTTCTCCAAATCTAGGGAGTATGGAATCGAAGATAAACAAAACACAGGAAACTCCATATTACAGCTAAACAAAACTTAGAACATAATGTATAATATACAAAAATATCAACAAAAATGTATCTACAGCTTCTATGAAACCGTCAAACAATATGTGTTAACAGTGTTCTATCTGATACGAAGCAAGTAAATAATATGATAAAGTTTTCCAATATAATGCAACCCAATGTTCCTACTCATAAAATATCAAAGTCTAAGGTCTGGAAGTGTTGAGTAAAAAGTCCATTCAAATATGTAGTCAAAGTCTTGGGTCCTTGGGGTAATGGATGAACTCCTAGCATAAATAATTGTCCACTGAGCTAATTTCGTGGTATTTTTACTTCTTCAGAAGATATGCCTTGGACCTCAAAAATGCTGGAAACAGGAACATTCATGAATCTAAAATAGTTTTCAAACACAATAATAATAGACCTCATTTTGGTGGTCATACTCTCCCCACTATTACCCTGTTTCCCCGAAAATAAGACCTAACCTGAAAATAAGCCCTAGTATGATTTTTCAGGATGCTCGTAATATAAGCCCTACCCCAAAAATAAGTCCCAGTGAAGTGAAAGCCCGTCCTCCATCGTTGTGCAGCAACCAGAAGTAGATGACATGACTGTATTTGAATAAATGTAGATTGTTGTACATGAAAAAAAAATCCCCTGAAAATAAGCCCTAATGCTTTTTTGGAGCAAAAATTAATATAAGACCCTGTCTTATTTTCGGGTAAACATGTAGGTAATGTAACAATATCATACTTACAATATAATTCAATTCCACATGCTAGTGTCCTCTCATCCGTATGTTGTTTCTCTGCTGTAAGTAATTCCCAGAAATTAAGTTAATGTATACTCCCTGGTAGCTACCATAATTTCTTAAAGGGACCTTCCTCTCTATTGCATTATGTAATCCCCTAAATTTATAGAAATGCTGAAAGGTCTAAGTTGGTGTTTAGTCCTGCTGGGCTAAGTGAGTGCAATCTATGTATCCAAAAAGCCTATTTTTGAAATAAAATTCTGTGGATGTCAGTGTAGGAAAATGGATGTTTAATATGTTTGCAAATCATAAAGACAAGATGCGGTTGTGACTTGATCATGACAAGCATCCCATTTCACCTATCACAACCCTTTCTTGCTTACGCTGCCTTGCTCGTGTTTCTTCCCTTCTAGGCCTGGGATATTACGAAACGAACATGCGCGTACACCAACCACACAGTGCTGCCCGAAGCCCTGGAACGATGGCCAGTCTATATGTTTGAAAAGCTTCTGCCGAGACACCTGGAGATAATTTATTCTATCAACCAAAAGCATCTGGATGTAATGAATATGACTGGGGAGAGGGGTGTTAAGGGACAAAAAAGGGGGTAGACTCAGTCCGTCTCTAAATGACAAGTTGCTGGGTGCCCCACTCAGCAGCTTTACAGAACTGAGTGAAAGCAGATTTGGCCCTTTTTGTCACCTGATCCATGCTTAGTGGACAGCTGAAATACTGCCCTTTGACCATCTTCAGTGGTGGTGCTGCAGCATAGCAGATAGCGGGCTATCCGTGGCTTTCTCAAGAAGGTTGGTCTGCTTTTTTAGAAAAGAGATAGGGAATCTCCAGTGGTTTATGGAGTTTGCACAAGCCTCCAAACACCTAGAAAGGCCACACCCACTTCCACATCCCCCATCCCTCCAATTTTTTTCTTGCAAAAACATTTTTAATGAAAAAACTAACCCTTGCATCCTCTAGTTCCTGGGGGGGGGGATGCTTTTTTAAAGAATGGGAATGTGTGGGAGCCCAGGATGTGAAATGGTAATTCAACACTTGGGTAAATCCCATTGACTCAGTCTGTCTAGTTGGGGCTCCACCTGTAGGTTAGTGATGCCAGTTTCTTGGATGATGCCTGACGATAATCCAAGCCTATTTCAATGAGCAACAGGGGATGGTAGCATAGGATCATATTTCCAATTTACTGAAAAATTAATTCACACTTTTAGGTTCAATAAATATGTACAATCTTTTGGGGTAGGACATGACTTTAGAGGATTTTTGTCACTGACATTTCTGCTCTCGTGACCTTGACAGCATGTGGCTACCATTTTCCCTGGAGATATTGACCGCCTCCGAAGAATGTCTGTGATCGAAGAAGGAGACCCTAAAAGGATTAATATGGCTCATCTGTGTGTCATCGGCTCTCATGCAGTCAATGGAGTAGCCAGGATTCACTCAGAGATTGTGAAGGCTTCAGTGTGAGTCTGGCTTGGTCATTTTTTGTGTTTTTTGGAAACAAGTGGTAAAGCCTGGGGCTGTATAAGCAAGAAACCGGAAGCCACGTCTGCGTAGCTGTTGCTAGGATCTAAAAATAATACCTGTTTCTTTGTTTCTCATGTGTCACTGAACTTGGTTGCTAACTTCGTTTCCTGCCACCCCACTTGGGCTAGAAAACAGAATGGAAACGAGCAAATGCCAGAGGTTGGAAAAGTTGCTTTATTATTCAAAAATACCAGGAAGAGACAATCAAAATTATAAAAACATTAACAAAATTATAAAAAGATTAACATTAATTATAAAAACATTATGTAACAGGTATAAGTCTAAATCAAAAGCCTAAATATCTGTTAAATATTGGCGTAGTATGCATGCTATTCCTAATATTGCTGGGTTTTTAAAGCTCTGACGGCTATTCTTCTTCCTCCTTCCTCTTCTAGTACTGCTCCCAGAATCTCCTAGTTAGCATGGCTGCCATGCTGCTTTGGAATCTTCTGGGAAAGCTAGTGGGGAAAAAAGTAACTTTTCCAAGCTCTAACAAATATACAGTGGTGCCTCGCTTAGCGACGTTAATCCGTGCAGGAAAAAAACGTTGCTAAGCGATTTCATCGCTAAACAGAATTAAAAAACCCATAGAAACGCATTAAAATTAAAATGCATTAATGCATTCCTATGGACTTCAAAACTAGCCTTAAGCGAAAATCCTCCATAGGGGCGGCCATTTTCGGTGCCTCTAAAGCAAGGACACACAGCGGGTGGCCATTTTGTTTACCCGGTGGCCATTTTGAAATCGCCGATCAGCTGGCTGAAAATGGGGGCTTTGCAATGATCGCTTCCCCACGATCATCGCAAAGCAAATTTTCCCCATAGGGACCATCACTAAGCGATCGCTTTTGCGATCGCTTAAACTCCGTCGCTAAGTGATTTCATCGCTCAACGGAGCGATCGCTAAGCAAGGCACCACTGTACATGGGTGTTGCCATTTTAAGACCATCAGAATATCATGGGAATTATGTGTGATCTCGTTAATCTTGAAGGACAGTGTGTAGGCTTTCTGAACGTTTATATATAACCTTGATAATTTGGTCACTAATTTGTGGTTTGATCTTAAGTAAGACAAAAGGGCCAGTTTGTACAGTCAGCAGAATCAAGTGTTTTTTTTCTGGGCTGAACGACTCCAGGCTCACCAGAGGGTTTCGTGTTTGAACGCTCCGTCACAAAAATAAAGCTGCCCTTTGTATAGGAAGCTAGCATGTCAGCGAGGAAGCCTTGCTGATTCTCTCCATAGTGATCCTTCAGGGATGGGCAGGGAACTCAGTTTTTTGTTTTTGCTAAGGGGCAATATTCAGACATTCCATTCCCCCGCCCCCCGGTACCGTGAACCGATTTAGTCCAGGAAAAAAACCTTCCATTTATAGAATCATCCGTTCTAAATGTTGGAAAGGACCTTGTAGGTAATTTGGCTCTTATTGATTGCAGGAATCTTAATGGCTATTTATTTATTGAGGCGCAAGGATCCTGTCTGAGGGAAGCTGCATGCAGAATGGTCTGTTCTGGCTATCATCTCACTTTTAATGCTGCTGACAAAAACAGGAATCCACCAATCCCTTGTACAAACATAACAGTACCTGCCAGGGCAAATGTGGAGTGCTCCAGGGCATAGAGCCGTTATATGACACATTTGTAAACAGGGAACCAGTAAGGATATTTGCATCCTACTCTGTATTACAAGATCTTGAGGGCGGGATGGAAGAAGAACAATTTAAAACAATTGGAATATTTAAAATGTATACAATTAGTTAAACAACTTAAAACATACAAGACCGTTTAAATCAGAGATGATCACAGTTCGGTTCTTTGACGCGGTTCAGCAGATCAGCCAGTGTTGCCCGGGTGATCCGGTTTCTGCACCCTGCCTCCTCCTGGAGGCACCCACTCCGAGGAGAAGGAGGAGGGTCAGGGAAGCCCATGGAGCTGCTTCTGACAGGGCACACGTGCAAGGAAGCGAGCTGTGGAATCCAGATTGCCTACACAACACCCGTAGCTGAACCACGCCAAAGCGTGGTAAGTGCCCGTGTCTAGTTCAAAAATCATTAAAACCATTCACATTACAAAGAACTCCACAACTTATTTAAGCCAAGATCCTTGTATCTGGAACGTTCTGGTAAACAGGCACGTTTTAACTTGCTGTCACAATGAAATTAAAGTTGGTACTCATTCAGCCTCCATGGGCCAGCTTTTACAGCTGAGAAAGCCCTTGCCTGCATGTCTACACACAGTACTATTCTCAATCGTGAGGCACAAAAGGAGCACCACTCTCCTCAAGAAATCTGAATAACTGGGCAGGTCTATAAATAGAGATGTGATCCCTCAAGAAGCCAGCTCCCAAACTATCTTGCTACTGTTGCGTCCCTGACAGTTGTGTACCTAGGCTCTTCCAGTATACTTCCTGTGATGAAAAGTCCATCTCCCCCTGCTTCATTATGAAACACCTCTTATTGTAAAGATGTTTTTTCCCTCATACTGAAGGATGCCTACTATCCAAGATCCATTTCCTTTCACTTTCCATCCATGTACTCTCACCTCTCCCCTTTGAGAGAGCAAAGAAGATCATTTTCCTTCCTCTTTTTTTTTGAAGCAACCTAATTGTCTCCCACCCATGACTGCTCATTGTATTAACCTGCTCTATACTGACTAATCATCATAATATATATTTCACAACTGTCTTGTGATTCATGTCTTTTAGGTTCAAAGATTTCTATGAATTAGAGCCAGAAAAGTTTCAGAACAAGACGAACGGCATAACTCCTCGCCGATGGCTCTTGTTGTGCAACCCGGGACTCTCAGATGTCATCGTGGAGGTGAGCTGCAGGAGGGCTCAGCCTATAGGAATACCCCACACAGAAACATACACATGCCTTTTAGGAAACAGAGGGTTTTGGGTTGTGAGACCATTTGCAAAAGGGGAATGGACAAAACAGCCGTGGGCAGACAAGGACCCTTTGATACGATATACAGAAGGGTGGAACTTAGGGTAGGGCCTCTGGCTTTTTGGTGTTTCTCATAGAGCATCATCAGCTGTCAATTCAACAGCTTCAGCAGAGTTTTATCAACAAAAGGAACTTTGCTTGGTAGCTCTCACCTGGTCTGTTCTCCGCCCAAGATAACATTTTCTGCTTATTTATTGGTTACTTTGTTTGGCCCAGGTCCTCCCAGAAACCTCCAGGCGCTGGGAGCTGTCATTCAAAATCGGAACATAAACACAGGGGCCTAGGAAATCCGTAGGACCATGACTGTACTTTTCTTTCCATCCTGCAGAGAATTGGGGAAGATTTTCTAACCGATCTAAGCCAACTGAAGAAGCTGCTAGAATTTATTGACGACGAGGCCTTTATCAGAGATGTAGCCAAAGTTAAACAGGTAATACTGGTAGCGTATTAACTAAATACACGCCTTTAGGGGAAAAGAAACCGCTTAGGCCAGGCTGTGTACTTGGATTTCTCCATTGATGTCCCAGTCTGGAATATCAACCTCAAACTTCCCTTTTACCAGGAGAACAAGCAGAAGTTCTCAGCCTACCTGGAAGAACAGTACAAGGTGAAAATTAATTCTTCCTCTATATTTGATGTGCATGTCAAGAGAATTCATGAATATAAGAGGCAGCTCCTCAACTGTCTGCATGTCATCACACTCTACAACCGTGAGTATTTTAAGTAAGAAAACAGACAAAGCAGTAACTGTATGTGTTTTTAATGCTTCTGAGTAGCAGCATTCATTCATTCATTCATTCATTCGCAGACAAAGCAGTAACTGTGTTTTTAATGCTTCTGAGTAGCAGTTTTCATTCATTCATTCATTCATTCATTCATTCATTCATTCATTCATTCATTCATTCATTCATTCATTCATTCAATTGAAGTAAAAGAGCCATGTGGTAATTACACAATACAAATGCAGGAGTAGATGATATCTTTATAGTCCATTAAAGAAATCATATAATTTGCTAGTTTTCAATTATTGTTATTTGAAGAACTGGGGTAAGATATCCAGCCAACAACTTCCTCAACTTTAAAGCCACAACAATGTAGCCTGCATTTTTCTTAACTTAAATCTAAGCTAACCACCTAGCAAAACCATCTGTCCTGAACTTTTGGGGCTCGTTTTTTGTAGTAGTGACAAGACACTGCTGCAACCCTGAAGAAGTGGACTTAATGATCCACGAAAGTTAGCAGATTGTCTGAGTCTGAGTTCTTTAATAGTCTATAAAGGTATTGCCTACTCCTGCATTTCATTCATTCATTCATTCAACTTATATACCACCCAATAGCATGATACCTGTTGTATATTTATTTTCATATATTGGGTTTCATCTTTTCTATCTCTAATTAATTTTATTGCTATTTTCAGGAATCAGGAAAGACCCCAAAAAATCCTGGGTGCCAAGAACAGTTATGATTGGAGGAAAGGTAAGATAAGTTTTTTGTAGTAGTGACAAGACACTGCTGCAACCCTGAAGAAGTGGACTTAATGATCCATGAAAGCTAGCAGATTGTCTGAGTCTGAGTTCTTTAATAGTCTGTAAAGGTATTGCCTACTCCTGCATTTATTTCATTCATTTATTCAACTTATATACCACCCAGTAGTGTGATACCTGTTGTATATTTATTTTAATATATTGGGTTTCATCTTTTCTATCTCTAATTAATTTTATTGCTATTTTCAGGAATCAGGAAAGACCCCAAAAAATCCTGGGTGCCAAGAACAGTTATGATTGGAGGAAAGGTAAGATATTTGGTTGCTGTCCGGAAAAATTCTGCAGCATTTATGAAACTTCCTATATAGTTTCTTAAGCTTCTGATACAATATGCATTCCTATGGGGTTTCCCCCCTGCATACATTTATGAAACTTCCTATATAGCTTCTATTACAATATTTCCCCTTCTGTCCTTCCCCTGTTTTCAAGTTAACACTGGAGGCTTATATCACTTTACACCTGAAAACTTGACTTTTTTAGTATATGAAAGTGAGAACTGTACCACTCTGTCTAACCTTTTTTTGTTTCTGCATCAGTGAGTGATATGGCCACATGCTCAGAGCAGGACTCAGCCAGCAACAGACTACGGATGATTTTCACGGTGGATAATTAGTGCTGCATCTCTGTCTCTTTTTGAATCAGGAGCAGATCTTGGCAATGCATCCGCTTTAAAATTGTTGGCTTTGTTTAAACAATATGATGAGCAAAGTAATACTCTTAAACATCTGAACAGAGCATTTTGAAAGTAACACTTTAATCTTTGATTAATGTCTTAAGTTTTGGAGATTAGATTGTCACTTTGCTTGTCCTTCATGTTTAATGCTGAAGCACTGGATTGAGTGTTAACATGTTACATTTATCCTATTAATTCCAAGCTCTAATAAGGAATCACTGAGATTATAGATGACACCAAATGCAGAAATGCAATATAGACCAACTGAAAGGAAGGAGGATGGAAAAACAGTAGATTGTTACCAGACTTCTCCTCTGTTTTGGAGGGGAAGGAGCAAACCAGATATTAGAAGCTACCGGGTTCCATATGGCGCTATAAGGCAACAATAGAGTGAAGTGGTGCCCTGCATAGCGACGTTAATCCGTTCCGGATTAATCGTCGCTATCTGGAAACATTGCTATACGGATGGAAAAACCCCATTTAATGCGTTCCTATGGGGGGAAAACTTACCGCTATGCAGAAATCCTCCATTCAGCCGCCATTTTCGCCGCCTCGGTAAGCGAGGAAATTGCGCGAAAATGCTTGCGGCATACATTTTGTGCACCTGGAGGCCATTTTGGAACCGCCGATCAGCTGTTCTAAAAACAATGCGAAGATCGGTAAGCGAAACACTTACCGATCATCGCAATGCGATGTTTCCCCTATCTAAATATCGCAATGTGATCGCACTAGCGATCGTAAAAAACAGATCGCTATGCGTTTACCAGACTTCACCTCTGCTTTGGAGGGGAAGGAGCAAACCAGAGATTAGAAGCTACCTGGTTCCATATGGCGCTATAAGCCGACAACAGAGTGAAGTTATATACTGTGTTTAGCCCAGGTATGGGCACATTCTGGGAGTCTAACGGCCAGCCTTCCTCTCTGAGGACCTACCAAGAACTGTTCTGCCCCGTCCTGAAAAAAAAAATCTCATCTGAAAAAGATCCAGCTAGAATTGATTGGAAGTCCACCTATTGATTTGGTTAAAACACCTTTTTGAACTTTGGACAGACTTTGGACAAACCTGGAGTCTTTCATCTGGAGCCAAATTAATAATATTACTGCTCAGTGGTTAGAAGTAGGTGTTTCCTTTGCAACCTGGAGGGGTGTGTATGTGTGTGTGAGCGCTGCCCAGTTCCCCAGTCCAATAGAAACTTGGGGATTCACAAGAAGGCTATGTGGGAGGGTATATGCATGATTCTTGGACATCTTTGCTTGAGGAACTAGAGTGTGATACCCAATCGACAATTGTAGCTTGAATATTATCCCTCCAATGCAGGCTGCACTTTTTAAACTTGCCTCTAAGAAACTAGCTTGGCCCCACCACCTGCCATGAACCTTTGGGACTCTAATTTCTTGGCACTATCGACAAGACACTGGTGCATGGAAGTGGACTTTGATCCTTGAAAGCCAGCAGATTGTATGAGTTTTTCGTGGTCTAATAAAGGTATCACCTCCTGCATTGTACTGACAAAAGTTCTTTCCTTCCTTCAGGATGTGTATAATATTTTTGTGAAGCCCTTTTGTGTGGTTGTGCACCTTGCCTTTACTTATTCACAAGTATCTTGTCCTTTTACCTGTGTCCTTCCAGGCTGCTCCTGGCTACCACATGGCAAAGATGATCATCAAACTGATCACATCCATTGGGGACGTTGTCAATAATGACCCATACATCGGAGACAGGTTGAAGGTCATCTTTTTGGAGAACTACCGGGTGTCCCTTGCTGAGAAAGGTAAGAAAAAGGAGATGGTTAGCCTAAGATCAAGGCCTCCCATGCAAGAAATTATAAAATGAGAAAAGGAAGGGTCAGTTCTGCATGTCACAGGATTATACCAAGGCAGCAAAACTGTCGCTCAGCTGATGCAGTTGCACAATGCAACCCCCTGTGCATGTTTTATGTATTTACTGTGCAGTTCGCTTGTATTTATACCTTCCTTTTCCTGCAATTTGGAGACATGCGTGCCTCTGTCCCCCATTTTATCTTCACAACACCCCTGTGAAGTAGATCAAAATGATACGGAGAGTGGCGGACCCAAGGACATCCACTGAGTCTCCTGGGTCACTGGCAGTTTGGGCTCCCAAATAAATGCCAGCCAGTCACTCTAGCCATTACTCCACTTTGCTCTACAACCCATGCATAGATATAGAATGTGCCTTTAGAAGGAGAAGCAAAGCAAAGTGGTTTTTACCGGCTTGTCTTCTCCACTCCCTCCCAGTGATTCCGGCTGCAGATCTCTCTGAACAGATCTCCACGGCTGGAACGGAAGCTTCGGGGACAGGAAACATGAAGTTCATGCTGAACGGGGCCCTCACCATTGGGACCATGGATGGGGCCAATGTGGAAATGGCAGAGGAAGCTGGAGAAGATAACCTCTTCATTTTTGGCATGCGGGTGGAGGATGTGGAGGCGATGGACAGAAAAGGGTTCGTATAAGCCTCTTTTATAAGGCTGGCTCTGTAGAAACAGGCGCAATATGCTTGAGTGCTTCCCTTTGAGTGCTGTTCCTAAGAGCTTTTAGTTACTTTTAAAGAGCAGGGATCTGGAAGAAGCCCTTGCTGATCTACTAGAAATCACCCAACAATGGACCAGTTGGTCAGGATCTGTTGTACTCATATTCTGCGCCGTGCTATTGTGATTGCATGTCACCTTTAGCCAGAGCTTGGAAAGTTCTGGATGCCCAGTGTGGTGTAGCAGAGAGAGTGATGGATAAGGTCTGAGGACCTTGAAAGTCCTCTTAGGACTGCAATGAATCGACTCTGATTTGACATCACATCACATGGAAAGTTACTTTTTAAAGGTAATGGAGTCCTGCTACTCGTTGCAGTGTGTGGGAAATAACTTCTTGCCATCAGTTGGCATTGAAAAAAAATGCAACATTACTGGTTGCCCTGTTTGTTATTTTCCCATTATGTTGTTTCTTGGTGGGGTTGAATGGATAAGAGAGTGGTGTATAATTTAAAGGACCCTGTCAGAAAGCTGTTGTAAATGCTTTTTAAAATGCTTTTTAAAAAAGTAAGTAGAAAATGTGGTTCATTGTACCAATATAGTGACATTTTTGCTCATTGTGCCCTTTTGGAATATGAGTTTGCCACACACTCATTACCTCAAAAAGGAACTAGTTGCTTATAACTATATTACTTTTAACTCATAACTTCCAAGCTCTTTCTAGCCAAAATCCTGTTGCTGGCCTAACTCAAATGGCTTTACCTTGAATGGTGAATTGTGGAGTCATCGTAGACATTATTTGTTGTGGGCTGAGTTGCATAACTCAGTACAAGGCAGGCAATACCTACACTGACTTCATAACTTGCAGCACTGTGCCACCAGGAGCTACGATATTTATGTTATGCCAGTGACAGGATTTTGGACTCTTTATCTGTCACTGTCCTCTCTGAACTACCTCTGAAGTGTCAGTCATCTGGGCTTCTCTGATTCAAGTTGATACTGTAATTGGTTTGAGTGCGCCACATAAAACACATGCACAGGAAGCTGTTTGTTTGTTTGTTTCTCATTCAGATACAATGTGCCACATAAAACACGTGCACAGGAAGCTGTTTGTTTGTTTCTCATTCAGATACAATGCTAAGGAATACTATGATAGGATCCCCGAACTCAAACAAGCTATTGATCAAATCGCTAGTGGCTTCTTCTCACCAAATGATCCTGGGTGCTTCCGAGATGTTGTCAACATGTTGATGAACCATGACAGGTGAGCATCGCCGCTGGGAGCCCCGATTTAAAGCCAAAAGGAAAATGTGATGTTTATATACAGCCCCACTCTCTGGGCAGTTTACAAGTTATTTATGCAGGTGACACATTACCCCCACAGCGAGCTAGATACTTGGTTTACTGATCTTGGAAGGGCAGAAGGCTGAGTCAACCTTGAGCGGGCTACCTGTGCCCAAGAGTGAGTAGAGTCTTCATTGCAGTACTGAACTTTAACCGTTGTCCCACAAGGCTCCCTAAGCCATAGGTTATCTGACAAGGCTTCCAAGACAGCTAACCACCGTGCTAAAAGTACATATAAAGTTCATGTTTTTGTTGTTAAGAACAGTAAGGCACTTTGGAGAAGGGGATTAAAGTCAGGTTCCCAATCTGGGAAGAAGAGAGCTAACAGCAAAACATTGATTTATGGGAAATCTTGCGTTGGTGACATGCTTTACAGGTGTTGTGAACCACCAGAAAAGCAAATAAGTTTCTGGATCAAATCAGTCCTTGAGAACTGAGAAATCAACTTTCTTACTCAAAGTTAACATGACAAAACTGAGGCTGTTATATTTTGGACATGCCAAGAGAAAATAAAACTCACTGGAAAAGACCGTAGAAGGCAGTAGGAAAAGAGGAGGACCTCACAAGAGGTGGACTGACTTAATAAAATCACAGAATAATGGAGCTGGAAAGGACCTATAAAGCCACCAAGTCTAAGCCCTTAACGGTTTGGGACCGCTATACTTGTCAGAACATCGCTCCCAGAAATCAGTTATCTGTCCCACCCACTCCTCTCAATCCATAAAAGTTGCTACATTTAGAGAGGCCAAAAAGGTGAATATGAGGAATCGTGCTTTTTCAGTTGTAGCCCCTAGTCTCTGGAATAAAATGCCAACAGAAATATGCCAGACCCCCCTTCTCTCTTTGCATTCAGAAAGATGGCAAAGACAAAATTATTTAAAGCTGACTTTAATAACTATTTTTTAAAAATGTTATTAATAAATTTTAGATTTTTTCAATGTTATTCATATCTGTGTTTTAATTATTGGCTTTTGCACTGCTGTAATTTTTTTAATTGTATTTTTGTTATTGTGGTGTATTGAGGGTTTTGTAAGTGTTAACCTTCTGTGAACTGTCCAGGGTGGTCCTTGCATTAATAGGGTGGTAGATCTAATGAATAAATGAATAAACAAAGAAATAAATAAACTCCCTGCTCAATGAGGAGTCCAAACCAAAGTTTATCTGACAGATTACCTTGTCAGATTCAGTAAAAGAAGCTCTGGCCTTTGGTTTGCAGCTACTGAGCAGGGCTTTTCATGGTAGGACTTTCCCAAAATCATTGATTTTGTAAGGTTGCCATAAGTCGGAAGTGGCCCTTAAGAGTGAAAATGTCTAAAATAAAAAGTAAATAACATCAGCATGATAAGTCAGCTAAATACTCCCCTAAATCCTGTTCCCGGTGAGGTTGGTCATAACAGCTTCTTTGGGGCAAGAGGGCTCCGCGGAGAAGGCACCACCACAGAAAAATCCTGGTTATTTCACCACTTGAAGAGTAGTAATATTGAAAACAGTTTCATTCAGAGAACGTAATCTTAAGAAAAGGGGGAAACATATAAAATAGATTGGAAGATATCAAAGCATACATTTAAAACAGAACAAGCAAACATGAAATCTGCAGAATGCTTTTTATTTAAGATCCTTGGGTTTCTAACTTTACAAAGACATGTTTCATCTTCCAATTTGGGAAGAAGAAAATGCCCCCGAGTTGTCTGCCCTCATACTCTTACTTGTTTCAGGTTTAAGGTCTTTGCTGATTATGAAGATTACATCAAATGCCAGGGGAAAGTGGACAAGCTGTACATGGTAAGGGGAACCTTCCTCGCGGTTTGGGCTCCTGGCTAGCGGGCGGAAAAAAGGGAATTCTTTGTGAACCAGATGGAAGCCATACTGCCTCCTCTGGTATCCTAGCAAGAGTCCAAGTGATGGGACAAAACACATTGTTTTGGTATTTGAAACCGCAGCCGCTGGTAAAGGGATTGAATACCTTTGTATTGGATCTCCTAAGCTTTAGAGAGACAAGGAAGTTCCCTAAAGAACAACTACTGTTATTGCTGGAAATAAAGATTATAGTGTAGGATAAAGAGACTCTCCGTGGGGACTGGGTGGGGGTGTGTACATGTGGCACACATGGTTTGTGTGCTGCCTTTCTCTCATGACCCAGTTAAATAGTACAAATGCAATGAAAACATGGAATGAATAAAATAATAGATCATGCAAGCACCAATAAATATACAAACAGTACATAGATCAGAGAGACCAGGTGTGATATAATGGATAGGACAACGGACTAAGACTCAGGAGACCTGGGTTCAAATTGGTGCTTAGCCATGTAAACTCACGAGGAGGTGGCGTTGGTAAACCTTTAATATCTCACATACCTTGAAAAGCCTATTAGGGTTGGTAATTTGGATGCAGCTTGACAATACATGTGGGACATGGTGGCGCTGCGGGCTAAACCGCAGAAGCCTGTGCTGCAGGGTCAGAAGACCAAGTACTGTAGTCGTAAGATCGAATCCACACGATGGAGTGAGCACCCGTCGCTTGTCCCAGCTCCCACCAACCTAGCGGTTCGAAAACATGCAAATGCAAGTAGATAAATAGGGACCACCTTGGTGGGGAAGGTAACAGCATTCCATGTCTAAGTCGCACTGGCCGTGTGACCACGGAAGAAAGTGGTTCTATGGCTTGGAAGCGGGGATGAGCACTGCCCCCTAGAGTCGAACACGACTGGACAAAAAATGTCAAGGGGAACTTTGACAGTATATAGCAAACAGACCCTAGAACAAACTAACATAAGAAGTGGGAAGTGTTAAATTTCTTGATCAATTCCAGGGAACCGTATAGAAATCTGAGATAAAGAATAGGTATTATAAGCCACCACCAATTACAGAATCATGATAGAAAGGCCGTTTCCTTGGACTTACAAATAAGCACCCATATACATAATCTAGACAGAAGCCTTATCCACAAAGGCTTGTTGCCTCTGTGGGCTTGTAGAATGAAAATAAAAATGGATAGCTTGGAAACTGGAGGAGTAAAAATGAGTGCAGGAGATTCATTGGTGTAACTTTAACATGATAATAAAACTTGGAAAATGCTTCCACTAATTGTATTTGCGAAGGCTTTCACGGCCAGGATCTAACGGTTGTTGTGGGTTTTTCAGGCTCTTTGGCCGTGTTCTGAAGGTTGTTCTTCCTAACGTTTTTCCAGTCTCTGTGGCCGGCATCTTCTGAAGAGTGCTGTCCTCTGAAGATGCCGGCCACAGAGACTGGAAAAACGTTAGGAAGAACAACCTTCAGAACACGGCCAAAGAGCCTGAAAAACCCACAACAACCGTTAGATCCTGGCCGTGAAAGCCTTCGCGAATAC